AAGACAGATGATTTCACCTATTTTTTTCTGGTCAGACTTTCGCTGACTCGTTACTTTTGTTCTGAAAAGGGATGCTCATCTTTTCCGACATGAACACATTCAACATGTGTGCGATGTGCATGTTCTCGTGGATGTGCCTTAAGACATGTTTTAATTTGCAATTGCTGGCCGTATATCGGGTCGGCAATCGCTTAAGCGGAAGGCCAATTCAACTTAGCAAAACATGCTTGAAATATGTGCCAAAGATGATCTGTCTCTTATCCCATCGTTAACTCTTAACAATTTTGACCGCTGGCTAGGGTAATCATCCTAATTGCCACTTCACGCCTCATAATCACCTGCGCACGAAAACGAGCAAAAACTGATCTGTGATTCGCAAAATCCCTAACATGAGTTACTGGTAGACTCATCCGGACCGGTTTCATTGGTTTCATTGATCATTGTTATCATCCTAACTTTTGGATAGGTGAAATCCATTTGGACGTTTCCAAATTCTGCCAAATGAACTCTGAAAAGATTATGCAGATTTTTTAACGGTTTATTCCAAGTCAAATGAGCGGCCGGATTGCAAATTTTGAAGGAACATTTGAAATTTGAGATCAGCGGACCAATTTTGCCGACAATGAGTGGCATTGGAGCGGAAACTGCTGCTGTTTTATTGAAGTTGTTGCACTGTTAACGAAATGTTTTCGCTACTTTTGCGTCAGCGACGTGACTATCGGATCAGTTTTAAAGGAACGGAAATATTTTTTTTAACGAATGAGCGATTAGTGGAGCTATTTTTTCAGCAGCCTATCTATCACCGAAATAAACAAGAGTATTGCTGTGATACAATGTATAGACCAAAACTGTTTGTAAGTAATAGATTTAACAATATTTGTAAACCTTTCTACTTTTCGTCTTGTGACCATGTCATCTTTACAGAGCACAACGACTTCAATTTAAAAACTGGAGTTTCTGACGCCTCAACTGATTGACTTCAGATGCCTAGCCTTGGTTAATCCTAGTGGTTTCAAGGTGGGCAGATCAATAGCCTAGGTGCAGGATCAGTCA